TGCACATCCAAAAGGTGCTCTGTTTGATTGAGATCTGGTGACTGGAATAATTGTGAAGTCCTTGTCACGTTCAAGAAACCAGTTTCAGATGATCTGAGCTTACATTGTGCGTTACCCCCAGAAGATGGGCAGACTGGTCATGAAGGGATGGACTTTATGCAACTCAATACTCAGAGTTAATTAAGCAGTGCAACACTCAGGTAAGCTGTGGCGTTTAAACGATGCTCAAATGGCACAAAGTTTGCTGAGAAAACATCCCTCGTGTCGTTACACCATCAGCAGCAGTCTGAAGCAATGGATCCATGCTTTCATGTTGTTAACTCTACATGCTCTGGTCCAGTTTTGATGAGTTTCTTGTTGGCACTCGGTGTCGTTTTCTGCTGCGGTAGTCCATCAGGTTTGACATATTGTGTGTTCAGAGAAGATGCTCGGTCATAACAAGTGATTATGAGAGTTACTGTTGTCTTTCTATCAGCTCAAACCCATCTATTTTCACACAGATCTGCTGCTTACATGATATTTTCTCTTTTTCAGACCATTCTCTGTAAAACCTTTGTGTGAAAATCCCAGTAGATCAGCAGTTTGTCAAATACTTTTTGACACGTAAATCAGCTTTCTTCCCCATTCTGATGGTCGCTGCCATATATTTGCATTAATGAGCAGTTGAAAAGAAATGAATCCTTTTATTCAGCAAGGATGTGTTAATTGGTAAGTCTTTTGAAAAGACTTATTGGAAAAATTGGAAAGAGATTTATTGATAGTAAGGTTATCTATTTCAAATAAATGTTGTTCTTCTGAACTTTCTATTCATCTGTGAATCCTGAAAAATAAAATGTATCACGGTTTCCACAAAAATATTGTGCAGCACGACTGTTTTCAACATTGATAATAATAATAAATGTTTGTTAAGCAGCAAATCAGCATATTAGAATGATTTCTGAAGATCATGTGACATTGAAGACTGGAGTAATGATGCTGAAAATACAGCTTTGATCACAGAAATACATTACAGTTTAACAGATACTCACTTAGAAACAGCTTTTTTAACTTCAAATAATATTTTACAATTTTTACTGTATTTTTGATCAAATAAATGCAGCCTTGGTGAGCAGAAGAGACTTCTATCAAAAACATATATATATATGTATATACACGGTATTCTATGTATATACATTTGGTGTTTACAGTTTGAGAACGAGTCTAACAATATGAACAGAAGTGATTGATCAAATAAAATGAAATGTGCTGCCATATGAAATTCTGAATTGATGAATAGAATTAAGTGACTGCAGCTGTAGTTTAGTATGAAATGCAACTGTGACACTTGAGTTGGAAACGACCGCTGATGTGTGTTTATGGCTATTACAGCAGATGACTTCAGAAAACATCCATTTCTTCATGAAGTTCTCAGTGGTTCATGATGAAACTTTCACTTTTTCAACATGAAGATCTTCAATCCTTTCGTTTATATGTTTTGACACGTGTGTGTGTGTGTGTGTGTGTGTGTGTGTGTGTGTGTACCTCTTATAGGTGCTAGAATGCACATTAAACATTGATTTCTTTGCACAAAGTTATTTGAAAACTCATTGTTTTGGAGTACACCCCATTTATCCTAGTTAGTAACATGCTGCTCACTGAGGCTGCATTTATTTGATAAAAAATACAGTAAAAATTGTGAAATATTATTATCACTTAAAACACCTGTTTTCTATGTGAATATCTGTTAAACTGTAATTTGTTCCTGTGATCAAAGCTGCATTTATTTGATCAAAAATACAGTAAAAATTGTGAAATATTATTATCACTTAAAACACCTGTTTTCTATGTGAATATCTGTTAAACTGTAATGTATTTCTGTGATGCGCAGCTGTATTTTCAGCATCATTACTCCAGTCTTCAGTGTCACATGATCTTCAGAAATCATTCTAATATGCTGATTTCCAAAAATTAATTATTAGAATTTTTTTGGAATAGACAGTTTAACCCAGTTAGTTTGGATGGTTAAGCAGGTCATCTGAGGTAAAATGTGGAAAATTGTGTGAGATAGTCATTTAGTGAATAACAGGTTCAGCCCAACCAGTGAAAATCCCTGCTTGACTCATGCCAACTGAAATAATCACAGCATCATTGATGATTATTGATCAGGTACAGAACAGTATACAAAGTGGCATAACTGAATACGAGACAGCAACAATAAATCAAAACAAACACTAAGCTGTGTCTAGTGTCTGTCATGTTAATGATTGATTGCATCATCATCTTGAATGTTAATGCTGTTTTTATTTATAGCTTATATATGATTCCGTAGTTAGTGAAGGAAAATCCCTAATTGGAGTTTTACTAATATTAAAACAGGCGGTAACACTTATAATTGCCTAGATATTTTATAATAGTGAATTATTGATTTCAATCCTCTCCAAACGCCGGATTTGCATAGGCCGGTATTTTACCCCATAAATTTCCGTTGGTGGGGATTTTTTTTATGACTCACCTACTAATATATATATTCTCTGTTGCTGAGCGAGGAAGACGTCAGACAAAGACAGACCTGTTTCAGATGATGGGAATATCTCAAAAACGTCTCTCGACTAAAAGCAGCAGAGTGGCAGAAATACATCGGCAGAGACGAAGGATGTCACAAAGGTAAATGTGTTTCAGAGCTCTGAAGAAAACCACATGCTTCTGCTTCTTCTGCTGCTGCGGTGGCTTTACCTTTCCTTCCTGCTCTTTACGGTTTAATGTCTAAATCAGCCAGTGATATCTGAGACAGACAGACTTCAGATAGCAGTTAAAAACAGGGGCAGCTGTGAATGTGACTCAGTGTTGCCAGCATTTAAAGGTCACCCTTCTAAACTGGATTGATTGGGAGGATGTGTGGGCAAACGGAGAAGATGCAAACCACACTACTCACACCTAGTTTTAGGACTGACTGGTTTGCATTTCTCATCACACTCCAGACCTATAAAATCGGATGCCTCAGTGTCTGTTTTTAGAAATGCATTTATGTAATGACTTTGTTTTTGTTCTCCACAGCTCCAGATCTGGACGTGATCGCGGCTCTAAAGTGTCCCAGTTCGGGTTTAATGCTAATCGTGATAGGGGTTTGTGCTACTGAACACCTATGCTGTTAGCATTAGACCTGCGCTGGCGACCGAACCTACAGAAACACTGAGGATCACAACTAAGCTCAGTCTAGTTACGGCTCTAATAATAACCCAATAGTGGAGTCGCACTTGCAGCTTCTGTCTGAACTGAAATCCAGCAAATAAAAGGAACCTGCAACTATTTGATTTGTTTGATTTGCTGGATGTGTGTTTCTCATGCATTTTTCCACAATGAACAGATTTAATACTTATTGTAGTGTTGCATAGCTAATATTCATGCTTCGACCAGAACAAAAACCACGTGCATTTAAATGATATTTTAGCCACCCAGATACCAGTTGTGGTTTCTTTCTGTAAGCAGTTTGATTCCTATCGAGCAGCGCTGGTGGTGTGTTAGTGGTTCTTCTAGTAGCCTAATCTGAAAGTTACAGGTTTGAGTTCTCGAAGAAGTGAATGGGTAAGACCCCTGGTTTGCACATCAGTAAAGCACCAGTCCTCAGCGGGACAGTCCCTGGAGTAAACATGATGCAAGAAAAGCACCTTATGCACTGCTAAACCCTATAAACAACAACCACAGTAACTATAAATACAGCATACACACTAAAAAATAAAGCTTCCATAGGAGAACTATTTTGGGTCACAAAGAAACTTACAGTTATTAAAAGAGCATTTCCTCTTTTTTTTTTGGCAATGAAAAGGTTTCATGGATGTGAGTGCAGTGTTAGTTTGTTACTTCGAACGTGGCTCAGCCAATCAGAATCAAGGACCGGAACTATCTGCTTTATAAAACATCATAAATCTGTGAAGTTTGTATCATTTGCTTGATGTCAGTGGATTTAAAACAAAGCATGCAATTTACATTTTAAGGTCATATGGATGTGGTTTTTCTTTTGTGTTGCAACATACAAGACATTAAATTGTAGTTAAAAAGTAGAATGGCAATAAATCAGCTGTGAATTAAACAGCTTAGCAGTTTCTATGTAGCAGCAATATATGCTGAGAAACCTCCCTTACATTAAATATGATTTGCTTTCATATATTACAGTATATACTTGTAAACAGTGCTGTCAAATGATTAATAGCATCCAAAATAAAAGGTTTTGCTTACATAATATATGTGTGTGTACTGTGTCTATTAAATACACACACATACAGCATATATTTAGAAAATATTTACATGTATATATTTATATTCATATAATTTATATCATATATTTAATATATAAATGTAAAGCATTTTTCTTAAATATAAACATGAATGTGCGTGTTTTTAAATCTACACATGTACACACACACACACATGTAGACGAAAACTTTTATTTTGGATGCGATTAATCGTTTGACAGCATTGTAAATATTTTATATTTTAATTTAATTAATAATGAAAAATAAAGATATTAAAAAATATTTGATATATTGTACTTTTATGTTATTTTAGATAAATAAGAACAATTACTTAGACTATTTAAAAAAGGTTTCAAAATGGCTTTGTGTATTTTTTTTTGTTTGTTTATCTTGTTTATTTGTATTTATTGCAATCATGCCATAGAAAAACTATTTTGGTAAATATATATCATTTATTTAAACATATAATGCAGCACTGATAATGCCTGTTTGATATTTTAAGTTTAAGTTAAAAAAAACTGAGCAACTTGTTAGCAAATTATAAACTAAAGGTTGTATTTGTGTTCTTTTAGTCTATTTATATTTTATTAAATAATCTGTGATGTGCGTTAATAAAAATACTATTAGACTAGAAAGCTGTTCTTCTAACAGCTATCATAATAAATACATAATAATATATTGTAATTGTTTTTAGAGTGTAACGAAGTATTTTAGAGCTTGGTAAACTCAAAGCGGAACCCTAAACGCGCTCCGTCAGCGGCGGATGTTTTTATCGCTGCAGCCGGAAGCTGCACAAGCATGTCGCTGATCTTCTCTGTTAGCAGCTTTATTTAGCTCCGTTTCCTCTATACTTTATGTGTATCTGTTTATATCGCGGATGATATTTTTGTGTGATGCTTATGGCTGTCTGTCAGATGCTTCAGCGCCGTAAGTGGATCATGATAAACACACAAATGACCAAACTCCTGACCTTCACACTCACACTATACAGTCTGTCAAAGAAAGCCACGACTGACAGATCTCAGCTTCTCATTTCATCACCAGGAAGCTGGATAAATCAGCTCTCCATTGATGTATGGCGTCTTTAAAGTTGTTCAATTTAAGTTCTTAGCAATGCATATTACTAATCAAAAATTAAGTTTTGATATATTCACGGGAGGAAATGTACAAAATATCTTCATGGAACATGATCTTTGCTTAAAACTTAACTTTATTTTAACTTGTCACAGATTCACACACACACACGCTCACACACACTCACTCACTCTCACACACACAGACACGCTCTCACTCACACACACACACACTCACTCTCACACAGACACTCACTCACACACACACACACACACTCACACTCACAGACTCACTCTCTCACACACACTTACTCACTCACACACACACACACAGACACGCTCACACACTCACTCACACAAACAGACTCACTCACTCACTCACACACACACAGACACGCTCTCACACACACTCACTCACACACACAGACTCACTCTCACACGGACTCACTCTCACACACACTCACTCACTCACACACACACAGACACGCTCTCACACACAC